TGTTGCTGGTATGGTATAGCTGAATCAGTATAGTGACTGTGCTACTGGATGGACGACCCAGGAATTTGGATTCGATTCCCGGTAAAGGCAAGAGATTTTCCTCTTCGCCATTACGTCCAGTCCGGCTGCAGGGTTCACCTAGCCTTTTTACTTTGCTTGGCTTATTCTTCGAACCTGAAGACTGAATCAGTACACTCCACCGTAACGACGATGAGTTTGTGTCGGACCACACAGAAGATGGTAAGTACTCTTCCTAGTCACTGCTGTGAGAACCTCAAATCCAACAAACGAAAGGAAAACAAAGCCAGAATTTCGCATGCGCCACTTTGAGAGTTGGTCCGCTCTTACATAGAGCTAAAGCTGAGGTCCTGTATGCATTAAGTGAGATCTCCCCTCCAGCCACTGGTGGTCTGTTTAGACCAGAACGAGACTGAATACGCCCAAGTTTAAGGCTATGAATGTATCTTCCTTGACGTGACTGTCACAGCTCGGCAGTGCGAGTGCTGCACGAACTGGTTCACTGTTACGACGGACTAGCGATAACTGCCGATAACTAACAAACTAAATAACAAAGAACTGATGCATGTGGCTTGTTTGAATATGTTGTCAGTGCTCGAATATATCGTCGCATGGCAGGATGATCAATGAATTGGAAAGAATTAGGAAGGAAACGGTCGTATATAATCAAAACATTATTCTTCGTTTGTCTGAGGGACACAGGAAGAGCATGAAAATCTTCAGCCGGGACAGACAGTGCCCCAACCGATATTCGAACCTGGCGTCTCCATAATACAAGTCTGGGGCGTTACCGCTACTCCAGCCTGTTCGGTAACTAACAAGATAAGTCCTTGTTGCGATGTTCTGGATTATGACACCGTGTAGTTTGGGAGATGGGCACTAACTTTCATGACTTAAAAGAATTTCTTTTTCTGTAAAATCAATTATATCATGCTTGCATCTACGCCTAGGTCACTCAGATTTTCTTTTGCTTAAATGTTCTCATCTTTATAAAACCCCATGTCCCTGCTACGGTTAATCAGCCTAATGTTCGATCAAGATTTGCTACAAAATATTAATCTCCTCTCCGGTCACTCCCGTCACTCAGGTCCAAATATTCTCCTCAGGCACTCTCAATGCGTTATCTTCCATCAGAGTAAGAGAGCAATTTTCTTGAGCGTTGGCCTGCTTTAACTTCGACTCTGTGTATGTGTGTGTGTGTGTGGATCAGTCCATGAACTCCCTCTTACAAAATGGACGCATTGCCAATTTATCTACAAGACAATCCATTTCATAAGTAATCTATCAATTTCTCTCTGTTCAACTGGATAATGGACGTACACTCGCTCATGTCAGACGGCAATGCATACAGGGTGTTCAGAGGGAAGCAGACAGGCAGTCATCTGGTCAACAAATAGTGTTCATTACCTTAACCTTAAAAAGCCAGGCATTGAGAGGCCACTTCAAGCCAGTAACTGTACCTACGCGAACTTAATGCAGGTTTCTTTCTGTGTGAGGTCTTTTTACGTTTTCAGTAGCTAGACTGTACGGAGGCGAATGGTAGGCTCTTAGATGAACTGGAAACAATTTGAAAGAAAATGGTCGTGGTCTAATCGAGATCATATCGTGGAATTTGTTTGCAAGGAATGCAGGAGCGCCGGTGACGCAGCCCGAGATTTCATTCGAGCACCTCCCGAATACAAGCCTAGAGCGTTAAACCTAGGCAAACCTGTTCAGTGGTACGCAGTTCCAGCTTGAGAGGAACTGGCATGAACCATGATGTAAGGCTTTTCTCGTTGTCTGGATAATGATAGAGTCTGCACTATTAAATGCTGAATTGTATGATAACAGTTCAGAAAAATCAAGTGCTGAAAGAGGCTGGCGTTTTGGCATCATATGGAAAGGTCGAAAATAAGAAGAAGCTAAAACTGTTATAGTTTCACTGCATGTAAAACTTTTTAACTCTTTAAATACTACATTTCTTCTAAATATTCGTAATACAGAGTTACTACAAATGATTCATTCCATTTAAAAACACTATATTTTCCAAAGTATTATACAAACAAAATGATTATATATGAAAAGAACCGCAAACTCAGCAAGTTTGCATCGTGATACACCAATTGGCGGCATGAATGCAGTGCCTCATAAAATGACGACGAAGCTGGAAAAGAGTTTCTGTGTATTGGAAATTGCAGTGCAGCGTGCATTCATAGCAGAGCACATAAAAGAACCGCCATGTAAACAGAGCATTCTTCGGTGGTATCGGCAGTTTAAGGATAACTGGTTGTCTGTGTAAACGGAAAGCACGGGGCGACCAATATAGCGTTTTGAAATGGAATCAATCATTTGTACGAGTAGTAACCCTGTATATGTAATTTCAGCTCGTACCTCACAGGAAACACATTACGTCTCCGCTACAAAGCCCAACCGGTTACTGCTGTTTAGGGAAACAGTCTCTGTTTATTGTGAGAACTATACGGAACACACAGATACACTTTGTGGGCAGAGTGCAGAGTTATATTTTGTTAAAGCAGGTTGTACCTACAGTAATCACCGGGCTTTAAAAGACTAATAAAAGTACTTTTTGAGCATTTTCATCAATATGATTGTATTACTGAAGCGAGGTTATCCTTTTTAAAGCAAATATCACAAAAACAAGAGTCTTTATCACTTTATATTATCTGCTGCATATGTTTGACAAGTTCGAAATTCCCTGGCATTGCCCCAGCACTCAAAGGGGTACCGAGGTGTTCCCCTAGATTGCTGCGCCTAGACGACAGCCCTGAGTATGGCAAGCGTCCGTAAACGTATACATTGCATTCCCTCGGTCTCGAACCCAAGGCTTTCCGACAACCTCTGGGAAGCCCCACTGCGGGATGAATGCTCGCCATCCGCCATCTTGAAAGAGACACTTAAAGAGGAAGTGACAAATCTGTTGCCCTAAATTAGACGGGGAAGGAAGCGAGGAAGGGGAGGGATGGAATTATTAGTGGTTATGTTGTTTTATTTGTGGGCTTTCATTTATGACGTCATGATATGGTGTGGTTTTTGAATGACAATGAAGTGGAAAGCGAATAATTACCTCTTTCTTCTTCAACTGTTGATGAGGGCATTAGCTGAAGATGGACATGTGTGAGTGTGTACAGGCTGTCCAGAAACAAACGTCGCAGAGGTCTGTACGTCGATTCCAATTAGTTCTCTTTTAATCATGCCTGTGTATCTTTCTCTTGCTTTAATCTCCATTTTGTTTGTCAGTCAGCAAGCAAGTGTGGAAGCAAAAGCACTTCCCCTTCCAATTCAAAAGGGATTACAGGTTCAAGTCTCGTACGGCACACAAACTATCTTGATTTTTTTTTTTTTGTTTTTGCTCAGTAATTCCAGGCAAACACCGGAATAGTACCACAAATTAGGCCACGGCAGCTGTCTTCCACATTGTTTCAATTCATCATTCATTACTCATTCAGTCGTTTATTGCCACATAGCCTGATTAACTGACAGCGTCATTAAATAAACCGTAAATCAATACATACAGTAAATTAGTAACGACAGGAGGTTAGAGATAACCGCATAATGAGGAGCTTCATAACTTGTACTCTTCTCCAAGTATAATTACAATGATCAAGTCAAGGAGGATGAGTTGGGCAGGGCATGTAGCACGAATGGGGGAGAAGAGGAATGCATATAGGATATTGCTGGGCAAGCCAGAAGAAAGAGACCACTGGGAAGACCAAAACGTAGGTGGGTGAACAATATTAAACTGGATCTTGGAGAGATAGGATGGGATCGTATGGATTGGATTGATCTGGCTCAGGATGGGGACCAGTGGAGGGCTCTTGTGAACACGGTAATGAACCTTCGGGTTCCATAAATTGCTGGAAAATTCTTGAGTAGCTGCAGATTTGGCGGTTCCTCCAGGAGGGCTCTCAGCTCCATTAGTAATTAAGTAAGTAAATTAGTGACACGTTACTTAATGTCACACGCTCTGTAGTCTCGAACTGGGAGATGATTGTGAATGATGAACTGAGAATGAAGCGCCCATGGCCTATTTTAAGGCATTTCCCCAGCAATTGCCTATAGTGACCAGGAAAAAGACTAAAAACGCCTGTCAGGCTAGTTGCTTCCCGGGGTAAGAATCAAACCCAAGTCTTCCCATGTTAGTAAGTAGAAAAAGTAAAGTAAAAGCATCCCTGTAACAGGCCGTGGAGGCCCATAGGGTTGTGAGATGTTGAGGTTCCCACATTTTCTAGACAATCGGCGATAAGGTTTTCAGCCTTACGCTCCGTCCGCCCTTTACCCCAAAGAATATTGCTGGTACTCATTTTTGTTAGAGGCTGAGTCGACCCCAGGGCCATAGTGCGGCTGGAAGGATTAGGTCAGTTGAAAAAATCCACCTCATCGGGATTCGATCCCACGACCTTCCGGCTTGTAGCATAGTGCCTCCCATGTTAGTAATTATGTAAGTTAGTTACAAATCTTTTCCTGTCTGATTCGGGAATTCGGTGTGAGGTATGTCCCTCTCAGCTGCATAAGGGCAACACTGTCTGGCGCAACGACGGCAAGGCTCTCTCAGTATATCAAAGTGAAAGAAAATGTTAACCCTTTCCATGCTGCGAACGACATTTCTTATCCAGGGTCATCAGCTGCTTCTTTTGTGCATATGTTCATTACTTAAAGGCAATAATATGTACATTCCTTTCTTGTCTTTGCTAATTCTTGTGGCGTTGTATCAAGAGGCGTTCAAGTTCTCATGGTTATTATGTAAAAACAAGAAGGTGCACGAAGAGTACTATCTTTTGTTGTGTGATGCTGTGTAGACGTGTGTTTATACCGGACTACACGGCGCCATGTCCCAGAAGATAGTATTCTTCATAGTCACCCCTGTGAGAACCTCAGATCCAACAACAACAACAACAAAAAAGCATATTTGCGGAACAGAACATAGGATGAAAAAGTTTTAAGGTAAAAACTCACGAGTCAAGTAATGTAATTTATCTCTTTAACTGATAATACAACTTCAAACGTAACAATATCTTGACAAATTAAAGACACATTTTTTCGTGTTCAAATATTATGGGAAGAAAACTCTGTTTCTTTTTGTCTTTCACGTACTTTTCGCCTGTGCGACACACACAGACCATAGGTTTATCGTCTCTGGCTTTATCTTACTGTTAAAAATGGTATTTGAAGTTTCGTTTTATATCTGCAGTAACAACAGTATTGTGGAATCAGGCAAGATGTAACGCCAGCTTACCGAGGTCTTCTTTATCTGTTCTTCACGACGCCCGATTTACACCAGGGTTACGTCTATTGCAGTTTTTTTTTATGAATGCATGGTTTAGCCCCTGACGGATATTACATACCACATATGAGAGTAAATAGATATCCATGCCTTAATAGGTATTTGAACTCTTAGGTCGAAGCGGCGCGCGACTGCACAGCCAACAGGATTGGCAACCTAACTGCATGGTATTTAAGTATTCATTCGTTTTCTGTCTGCTGTTGAGGTGAAGCGAATGAAGAATTAAAGAATAGGAGAGGTTTCTAGTAGAAAATATTTCTCGACTTACGAGGAAAACAGTACTGAAGCAACAGCAGCATTGATTTTCTATCACCATACGAGTCATGCACCTGAGTGTTAATAGCTATTGTAAAAATATCTAAACTAAAGTAAGCTATCCTAAACTAATTTAGCTTATCCTGTGTTGATGGAGCACTGCTTAAAATAAATTATATCACATCAAACTAACTCGCTTGAGTTTTATTAGTAACGCCAGGGTTACTTGCGACTTTCACCATTCATAATATATTGGCTACACTGTGGCCTGCTCAGCTTGCCAAGGCGCAGGGCATGATGGGACAAAAGTTGAGAAGTATGCGCGAGAGTGATCGAACCTCCAAACTTTACTGCATTGGTTTATTTTTGTCTGCTGTTGGAATTATATACCATATAAAGGTATGTATTACGAATTTTCTTGCATGAATCGTATATTAGTATTACAGACATATGTCCATGCACAATGACACGTGTCTGTAAACACAAGTTAATGATGCACTCTGTGACGAATTGCACAAAATTGGTTCCGATAATATTTAAAATTTCCACTTTGAAATCATAACAATTATCGGTATGTGTGTTTAATAATGATTTTATTAATGCAGGCATCTTATAAATAAAGATTTTCAGAGTAGTGGAATGCTGTGTACCTCAGAATTATGTCAATGCAATATTTGAACGCTTTCTTACTGAGTAAGTCAGCTCCAGACTGGCAGGTGGCACTACTTGTCATGATAATAATTTATTTCTTACTGTGGTATATATAATTTAATAACATTGTAGTTTTAAATGTCTTGCAAATGCAACAGGTTGCATGCAAGGCTCCTATACAAAATGCATTACGAGTGTGCATGTGCAATATCGATTTATTATAACGGGATATATGGGTCCAGTTTTCTCATTAGTTATTGAAATTAACATTTCGATAAATGTTAAATTGTAAGTAAACATCCATTTCACGTCCATCGGAATTAGAATAATTTTCTTTGAAAAATGTAAAAGTATAATGTCTAAAATTTTAATTGTATTTTGAGCCTGATTATATTTCTACAAATAAATTGAGATGGTTATAAGCAGGAAGAGTTTAACGGAATTTACACCATGTTGAACTGAAAAAAACATGAATAATAGAAAGATGCACCCTTGGGGGTGCTCAAAGAATCTATCAAATAAGCCACTTTCTTTAAGGATCATGTTTCTATAGTAACAGGCCAAGAATCAGAAGTGTATGTGCCGTGAAGTTTTCCCTGTACTTAAATAACTTAGCACTACGCCACGAAGACGTATGGGGAGTGGAGGTACAGCTCCACTATTCTTGAACTCGGCACTAGATGTGGGTGAGTGGTCAGCTTCATGCCCTAGCCGCTTTATCCCAGTGATATTGTCCCCGGTTCCCATTGGATAAGAGGTTTGCTAGGCCCCATAGCCGGTTTTGACATTGTGGAGAAGAGGGAAATATTTTGCCCCTACTTGGAATCGAACCCCGACCCTCCAGCTCGCAGCCCGTCGCTGCTGCACCGACTGAGCTATCACTCCCAAATGAAAAGATATTTTTTAAAAATATATTTTGAGATACATGGAGGCAAGTGGTCTAGGCCTATTTTAAAGCCATATCCAACAAATATTTCCCCGGAGGAACTTGAAAATCAAGAAGAACTGCCATCAGTACGTCCGTGTTTCCTGTTGAGGTGTGAATCCGAACCTCCTGACGACAAGATAAAGCAACGGTACTGTTCAGTACCTCATGACTTTTGACCGAACATCCTGGTTGAGCAGTTCGTCTTTTTACTTCTTATTCTGCAGACCTCATATTCAAAACTTTGCCCAGAAAGCGGTTGTCTTGGTAATTATCAGTCCCTTCAGGCGAGTACTGGAATAGTGCTTTAAATTACGCTATGAGAGTTTCCTTCCCCATTTTTTTTTCTTTGCAATTCATTATTTACTGAGCAACCAGTCATTCGACGCTGCATCATCGAATCGTTTAAATCAGTAAATTGACCCACGTGCGTTACAACGGAACGAGCGATGTATGGCGATATGGTGGTTCCAGATATGCCTCCAGCAGTGTGCTATCACGGTCATGCGGGCTAAGCAATGCTGAGTCACTCTTCTACACCCAGGGGAAGGCAGGAAACCCTTCCGAATATTTTAACCTACTTAAAATAGCGGTTTAACTCTTTAAAGGGCAGTGTTACTGTATCTGAAGGAGGATGAGACGGGCAGGGCATTCAGCACGCATGGGGGAAAAGGGGAATGCGTATAGGATTTCGGTGGGAAAGCCAGAAAGAAAAACACAACTAGGAAGACCTAAACATAGGTAGGAGGATAATATTAAGATGGATAGGATATAATGGGGCGGTATGGACTGGATTGATCTGGCTCAGGATAGGGACCAATGGGGGGCTCTTGTGAACGCGGCAATGAACTCTGAGGCTCCATAAAATTTTGGGAATACCTGAGCGACTGACGGCTTCTTGAGAAGGGCTCATCTCCATGGAGTTAGTTAGGTGCTGTGTCTGTCGCTGGTGTTACAGTTGTATTTGTGTGCCCCGTATGATTCTCGCAATAAACGGGGATTATTTCCCCAGACAGCATTACCTGGTTTGGCTACGTGCTGGGGACACTGATTGGAGATGCTGACAGTGGTGACTCTAAACAATACTGTCGTTTTTGATGTGACGTCGTTAGGTACTCAGGCAGTTACCGACGTTTCGGAGGAACCTGCCGCCTCAATCCTCAGGACATCCTTACTGCACGGTGTCACATCCCAAAGGGCAGTAATCTTTTCAGACCACGTCGTGAGGAATTCAAATTTCGCGTGATACGCCGCTGCTCTCTGTCCTGAGCCAGATTATTCCAGTGTACACCGTCCAACTCTGTTAACTTCCCACCAAAAAACTTTCAGGAACAGGTAGCTCTCTTTTCGACGTGCTTCATGTTGGTTTCTCGCTTGGATTATTGTTCGACCCCGGAAATAGAGGCAAAATGTTCCTTCGAAACGTCGGCTGATTTTCAACAATTTGTTTGGCTCCCACGCGGCTGCGCTTATCCCCCCAGTAGCTAGCAAGAGCCTTACCTTACACGCTAAGCCTGAGGGCGAATGAAGCAATCCCGTGGCGGCGTTGTATCAACTGCTGCTGTTGCTGCTGCTGTTTCAGTCTTAGTGTATTAAGTAGGCGTGCGCAGGCAAGAGTTCAATTGTTTCTTTGTCTACGGCACAACTACTTAGAACACGAAGACTGCGAACTGTCCGCGGCCGTCGGAGTCCACAGGCAAACTGAAATCGTCCGCGAAAACAACCCTCCGTGTCTCTAACTCGGATAAACCATCCCTCCTTCCAAAGGGAGTTTACTTAAACCTACAAACAAGATAAGAGAGACTGCGAATGATTCACTTGTTACATACGTTTACCCGACTTAAGAAGGGTCCAGACTCCAATTTGTAGTGTTAGGCCTAAGTCCGAAGTTACTTACTGAGTTTCTAGAGGTCTCCGTTCAGTATACCGCAAATATATTGGATCTTGCCCTCCGTCCCAAGTATGTTTAGTACAGGGTGATCCGATAAGATGTTAACGCTTGTGTGAAGCTACGGTTGCGATCCACAAGGAGTTTGCGGGGTCGCCAAGTTCTATAGAATTTTCTACCAACGCGCAATGTCTGCACATCAGCAGGATTAATATTGATGCTTTCGGAGGAACATTTCACGAAGTCAATTATTACGTTTTTGAAACTTTTCGGTGACTGGATTCTGTTTCCATCTTCAGGAAAAAGCCTACTTAGTTGGGCCTTACGAGCTAGTTCCTATCCCCGGAGAGGACGATGGGTAATGTACGAAAACACAATAGAGTAAACCCTCGATAATCCGGTTTCGTTTGGGGAAGAGATCATCCAGATTACGTGATAATCCGAATTAATGAAGCAAAAAAATATCCGTAAAAGACAAAAAAAAACAAATGGAAAATGTAATATTATAGGTAGCGCTAATGAAAATAAGTAAAAAAATCACTCTAGAGCATTGATTTCAAAACTGTAGAAAGACAAGAAGCTGAAACCCAGGGTCTCCTTAATCCAGCTCAAGCCAATCTTGTATATTTTCTTGTGTAGTTTCAGGCTCTCCAGCTGCCCTCAACACAGTCTGAAAGTTCTCTTGCTCCTAAATCCCACGTGTCTCTTAAAGTATGTACTCAACTGTGAACACAATTTTTAATTTTTCATATTTCGATCCGGATTATCCGACATCCGGATTAGCGAGGGTTTACTGCAATTGTATTAACATACGTATCATCGTCACAAAATTTTAGACCTAATTTCACGAAAGCTTCGTGACTGTACAGGAACATTTTATGAACATCTTGCTGTTAGTGTTGAGAGGCTGTAAAGCTATTTAGGTTCCTGCTCTCACTGCGCAGCCTGATGTAGCTTCTCGTAGACGGGAGGATAATATTCAAATGGATCTTAGAGAAGTAGAATGTGACGGTATGGACTGGATTGATCTAGCTCAGCGTAGGGACAGATGGAGGGAGCTCGTGAACACGGTAATGAACCTTTGAGTTCCATAAAATTTTGGGAAATTCTTGACTTGCTGAGCGAAAGGCGGCTTTTCAAGAAGGATCTATCTCCATGGACATAGTTCGTCTATGCAGTTCTGCTATCTGTTCCTTGGTTGGCACAGTAATTCGTACAGGACACGCTTGACGGCGCCGCTATCCTTACCTTATACAGTGTTCGGTAAGTTTGTCTATTCAATTATTAAGAAATCTAGTTATATTGTCTGGAATAAAGACGCGTTTCCGCCGTGCCGGTGCTCCCTGGTGTTGACATCAGATGGTAAGCAAGGGTGTTCGAATCGTGAACGTTATAACGAGCACTGGGGTCACAGTCCAAAATGAGATGCCCATTAGAACGGTCACAAACCGAAATCCCTTCTTGTTACGGTTTCTCTTCGGTCATCAGTGCTGCGAAGTCACCCCAGACTGAAATAAAGACAAAATCGAATTCTTTAAAATAGAAATGCGTTGCTCAACAGTTTGTAAGTAAATGCTGTCAGAAACCTGAGCGAGTTCACTAGCCTCGGTATCAGCTCACATTTTTCACTTCCTAGCCGGGATAGCTCAGTCGGTATACTTACTAGGATACGGCATGGATAACCGAGGAATCGTGTTTAGATTTCCGGCAGGGGTAACAGATTTTCTTTTCTCCAGTGTCCAGACTGACTCTGGGGCCCACACAGCCCCATAAGCAAATGATCCCGGGGTTCCTTTCCCATAGGGTAAAGCGACCGGGACTTGAACAGGAACAGACGCCTCCATATTTGCCGAGGTTAATAATGCATTGGATTATACCTCCACTCCCCCATCCGTCTCCATGGGTTGGTGCTGAATTATGTGCAGGGACAACTTTACCTGTATCTTCTCCACTTCTTCACTGCACTGCGCTGAAAATTTTGTATTTTGGCTTTATTTTTAGAACCTACATACTTGCATCCTTCATATTGTGGAATGTGGACCCGTTGCTAGGCAACGATCTCCAAACAAAGAATTATACAATGGTCTGTAAACTGCAACAGAATTTCGGTGTTTTCTGTGCAGTCCGTGCCGAGATATTATAAGCAGGACAGTTAGCGAGGGTTCAATTATTTGTGTTGACTGGAGTGGAGCGAGTTTCTTGGTTAGTGAGTGAGTTAGAGAACTGATGCGGTTCAGTCGTTGTGAGAAACCGGTAGCTGAGACAAGGGTTAGTGCTGGAACCCAGAGGAAGGGGAACGTTCGCCTTTGAAAGCCGCTACCAAGCAACGGCTAGTGAAGACATGACTGTGGACAATAATGTGTGTGATAATGAATTGTAAAGTGTAAGTCACGCGCCGTAGAAAAGAGTCCAATAAATCCGATCACCAATCGAAAACCCCCTCTATAGTCGCTCATACACGTGGCAGTATTTATTTGTTTATTAATATAACTGTTTTGGTAACTGATTTACTTTGGTTGCAGCAGAAATAGAGAGGAAATTTAGCAGAAGAAAGAAATGATGGGGAGAAGTGCCGGAAACTGAAATGTGGTCTTACGAGTTATGGCATCTTGTAGTTTTATAGGTTGTTACCAACGCTTCGGAGGAACTTGCTGCCTCCATTTTCAGAGAAGATGGAGACAGCTACTCTGGGACACCACCTACGAATTTGTCAAGATGCCATAACCCAGAAGGTAACAATATTATAAAAAAATTGATTTAGCAGTGACATTGTTATCCTGTTTTCTGCTGAAATACGATACAAAATCGCTGTTATGCTGAAGTAGAGAGATTGCAGATATTTGCAAGAACTATCATGTTATCCGGCCTGTACTATATGACTAACTGCCTTTCTTGATAAAAATGTAATTACATGGCTGATCATGAATATTTCCGCCTGTATGCAACCAGAGGGTTCATTACCAGGTTCATAAATGACCGTCTGTTCTGACATGCTTGAATCCAGTCACCCCTTCCATGCGCTGTTCTTAAGCCCACTTTCCTTCTTTTGAAAAAATAAAAGGAGTGTTATATTTTAGGGTCCTGTTACACTGATTCATGTCCATGGTTTATGCTGACCGTCTTACAGTGTATACACTTTTTCACCTTATTCTTCACTTCCACGCTACATGTTTCAGCACTAATGTGCCATCTTCAGGTGTCTTTATGCACGTTAAACTATTGTACTGCATGCCATAAGGTCTTTATTCTAAAATGACTAAAATCTGTATTCGTCATATAGGACGATGAATTCTAAATAATAAAACTTTTCAGGATTCTTCCTACGTCGCACTCAAACACGCGAATTACGCCAGTCCTCTTTTATGTGAGCATTCTTCCTACATATATTTGTGTATTGAGTTCTGTGTTGTGTTTTGCTCCTGTTACTGTATGCGTTGTACTGCTGGATCCAGCTGGATCTTTAGAATAAAGACATTATGGCATGCAGTACAATAGTTTAACGTGCATAAAGACACCTGAAGATGGCACATTAGTGCTGAAACATGTAGTGTGGAAGTGAAGAATAAGGTGAAAAAGTGTATACACTGTAAGACGGCNNAACCCATGGAAATAAAGGGAGTCGTATGAGATCACCTTGCTGTCTGTGTTTTTTTTTGGGGGGGGGCATATAATACGACGCTGTCAGGATCTAGACTATATGAGGTCCAATGGTAGGATGTCTGATGAACTGTAAAGGATTTGAAAGGAAGTGGCTCTGATCTATCTATCTTGGGATTTGCCTCGAGGGACTGAGGAAAACCTGTGCCTGTGCCTGTGCCTCAGCAGAGATTGGACAGAGCACCTCCTGATTACAAGTCTGGAGCGTTACCCTTACGCAAACCTACTAGTACGCTACTTATGTATGATCCATTTTAATAACATCATCCGATCTAGGTCACACAAGCGGTCTCGTCCCTTGCAGTTAAGAATGCATTTCTGATGTCCCTCATGCGTGCTACTTATGCTGCCAGACGACCTCACAACTGTTCCCAGGCAGACGTCTGATTTCGCTTCGAGGGCAGTCATTACGTGTAATCAAGCAATTCGCATCAATAGCCCTTAGCGGAGAGAATTTTCATATGAAGATCTCTTGTGAGATGCAGCTTGAATGAAGCAAACGTCAGTTCGAGCGGAGAAGCATAACCCATAGGGCCCATAGGGCTTGCCTTCATAATCATCGCTTGCAAGGGTTGTGCTTCTTAGCCCCTTGTATCCTCAAATAACAAGTCATCTAGCAATGTTCTTCTTAGTCTTCCTGGATTACGTTTTACTAGTCAATAAGTTCGTGGAATGGCCGCAAAGCGTAGTACGGGAATTTACTGCCAATATGTTTCAGCAATGTTTTCGGCAGCTATATCAACGTTGGAAGACTCGCATAGCGGCCAACGGCAACTATTTTGAGGGCCGATGTGGATCTGCGTAAGTGTATGTGAATACCTTGTAATATGAAGAGATAAAACCACATTCCACGAACTTAATGACTTTACCACGTATAATATGTATAT